TCCTTCCTTTTGTCCGCCTCGCTGCACAAAGGCTGTCCACAGTCCTTGCCGCGGGAATCGGACCCACCGTAAGGCCCGCTCCTCAGCCGCCTGATTTTTCGACCGAGTCACTTCTCAGTCAGTACCTCTCCTCGCTGCGTGGTCGTCAATTTCGGCCACCTGCTGGCAACTATGCGCCCGACACTTCTGCCGCTGTTGTTTCAAATGTGGTGGCGGGCCCCGTGCATTGTACCACCTCCCCTCGTCTGCAGCAGCAGCAGCAGCAACGAAAGCTTTGCTCCTCACCCGTGCAGGAGGAGGGTATCACTAGCACACGCTCCCTGTCGCCAGTCTGCCGTGGCCTGCTCGACGTTTCAGAGCTGGCGATGGGTGGTGCCAATGGCGATCCAATCGACGTCGCCGCGCCGATGTTGAGACCGGCGTCACCTGTCGCCACGACCAACCCAATAACGGCTGGTCGCCCTCGAAGGTCTAATTTGGCGATTGGCCCCACTTTGAACAGTGTTCAAGAAGAGGCTGGTTTTTCTTTAGGGTCGGACCCGACTGGCTAGCGATTCATGCCACCGCCGCCGCCGCCACTCACCCTCTCGTCAATCGCATTTATCACTTAACTAATTTTAATCCGTGTTACTTATTTTTGTTTCTTTCATTATCCTAATCAAAGTGAGTATAACAATTTCCTTTTTTCTAGACAAGGTAATGCTTTGTAGGATTTCTAACTTGCCCGCCCCGCTTCTAGTTTTTTTGTATATGTTGCGCCCGGCCAATGACTCACACCGTAGCATACTCTGTGATCCTGATTTTTCGATTGGCCGTCCCCCGTCAAGAGAAAAGCCGATGCCTTACCTCATCGCTCCTTCTTGCTTCCTCCTTGCCCCTCCCAAGCCTGATATTCTATTTTTTACTTGGAGGCGTCTTACTTGCTCTTCTCCTTCCTCCCTTACTGCCTATGCGAATGAAGACAACTTTCTGGAAGCAAACCTGCTTTTTCTTTGGGATTGGCAGTATCGCGGTCTAAAGTGTTCAGACTTTGCAGCATTTTCGTACATCACGCCCTGAGTACATCATTAGGTGATAACCTCGCAGTCATCTAAGTAGGTATTTGGCTGCTCTCCCCCGAGAATTAGGGCCGTCATCCGCGTCAAGCGGACCATCACCTCAACCCCGGGGGATGAAACAAAATGGCATAATGACAGTAGAAGGGCATGCACAACGTGCGGTACTTGTGTTTTTGCACAGATAACGGAACTGAATTCTCGACATGAGTAAACAGCAACCTGCCTACCGACAGCGTGCGAATAAAATTATGGCGAAGGTTTTGAATACTATGGAGCTAGTGTCCGATTTGAGAAGGATGCGTAAAAGGTTGGGAATTTAAATGCCTCTGAAGGGCATGAAGAGCAGCGCCATAAACATGAATTGGAGAGACCAATGTGAAACGAGTGAATATGGGCACCAGACCAGGGGGGAATCTGAAGCGGTTTGCACTCTGGCTCATTCGTTATAGTCTGTCAGGGAAGACGGACACCGTAAGGCGCTTGCGTGTTCTTTTCAGAGCTGGACCGGTTCGAGCCTCGCGTAGCTTCTGTTACCACCTACGTGCTGATGGGGGGGGGGGGGTTCTTGCCCTAGGAACTCAGATCATTGCGAAGCGTTCTTCTGTTTTTCTTTAAAAAGCTTACCTCACTCTGTAAGCCAGAGATACAACTCGTAATCTACGCGGTGGTACAATTTTTCCGGGAAGGCCCCGCTCAACTCCGTCATTTTCGTCCAGGCAGACAGTCATTTGACATGGTTTAGGATTCAAAGGGCTGACTATTTACTACTAGAAATGGTAGCACATAATGAGCTCGCGAAACGCTCAAATGTTTGCTGCAGAAAGCGGTATCGAATGGTCGGTTCTGAGATGCACACTAACTGCTTTACCTTGGAGCTTTGAGAGATACATCCATCAAGCGTTTAGCATTATTCGGTATAATGGGTTTGAACGGCATCATACTAAAACGCTTTGGCGCGATTACACGACTGCCCAGCTGTCGAAAATGTGTAAAAGAGCAAAGATGTATATTGTTCTTCGGTGCCAAGTCGACGGTTAAAAGGTACAAGACCGGCCATCCTTTGAATGGCTGAAAAGATGACCGAACCTGAATTATTTTTCGCACAGTGAGTTCGAGTAAGTTTCGCCAAGAAATTGTCAGTGAGGTGTGAACATACGATTGCCGGTACTGGATAACCTGTTCTCCCGCCGGAAGACGATAGTAAGTGTTGAACTCTTGATTTTCTGCTTGACCGGGAAAGACGGTTATGTCCGTCATGGTCAAATCTTCCCTCGGCATTTTGGTTGAGTTCCACACGTACCGAGCTCCACTGTGGGGATCTGAGATCTCACGTAAAGGATAGTTTCACAAGGGCAGATTAATATACGTTCAGGCGCGTCACATTTGGTGCAGTGAGGAATATGCTGAGTTGCATGAGGACCGTTTCTCCACTATCGACGTCTCCATTTTCCCTCTCCTGTACGCCAGTTGTCTGTCAGAGTCAATTCGCTTGGAAATAAGATGAGGAGCAGTAGCTGTCGCAACCTGAAGTCGCCACTTAACGTGACTTGGACTCTCGCAGAAGTTAAAGGCGCCGTAGGGGTCATATTAATAAGGAGCCATGGCAGACTAACCCTCAGTGTTGAGGGTAGGACCGAGTTACCTCGTTTGGCATATCTTCAGTCCATGACTAATGACACCATTTTTTATGGTTGGGAATGCATTGAAGAGTTATTCCTGTTCAAAATCGACCTCGCTCTCACTTCCCTCCCCCATACACCGGTATACCATTCGGTCCCGTCAGGAACTGGTGGTGAACTAAGGCGCAGTAACCGACGTGACGCAAAAATCTCAGCCATAGGCGAGCAGCGCGTGTGTGCGGCCTCGTTGTGCCCCTAGAACGGGACACGCGGTAAATGCGCTAGAGCAACACAGGGTGTTAGGTCTGGGTCCGGCAGGCTGACGTCGCGCCAATTAGGATCCGTGCCGCTCCTTATTTTTCTCGTTTAAAATCATGATCAAATGTTTGTTGTGGATTAGGGGGTGTGGTGGTATGCCTAGGTGCAAGCATCTACGGCCTCTTCTGACTCCGGTTTTCTTGAATTGGTCATGACACTGGGCTCAGGTGTGAGAGGAGACGAGAATGTGGTAGATGCTGCACAGGTCTACTACCACTATAACCTAATTTATGCGCGCGTCACTGTTCCTGCTCTCATCCCGCTGTGGAGCACACGGTGGACATCGTCGTAATCGATGGCCGAACTGTCGTCAATTAGCGCCTCGTGCAAACTCAGCGCAGCACGGTAAACGCATGTTATGTGCGAACGTGGTCCCCGTTTTTGTCCCATTCGTCAGTAATGCGGTTAATTTAGTGGAGGTTGTTTTATGTGCACCTGTAGATTGCGGTGGTGTAAATGAAGTCTGAGATGTGACGCTTTGCTCTGTCTTAAAGTATGCACACAACAGTTTAGCCGTCGTAAGTGAAGAGGTCCATCACTGTTCCAACGAAAGGAGCTCAGTGGTAGTAGGTAGAGAGAACATTCGTTTTTAGTGGAGCAGTTCTGTGCTGCATCTCCCTGATTCTTGCCTCCCGCATTCAATGTACTCCGTGGGCATGGGAGCGTCGACTGGCTAAACTAGATAGCCTGTTTGTGCGCGCCGCACGCCTGCTGGTCCTGCTCCACGTGCAGCAGACCGCCCCAAACCACAAGCTTCCTTTTTGATTTAGATGCGCACGTCCCAACACTTAGCATTTCATCCGCAATACCAACGCTGGTAAGGGAGGGTCACATGCATGCTGCAAAAGAGATGTGGGAGGTGTGGCACGGTGGGTTAGCGTGAATGCTGTTCATGCGTTTCGGTTCGGGAGAAGTGTTGTAATGGGGTCTAGAGATTTCCATGAATGCGGATATAGTTGAGGAGACCCATACTATTACCAAACGTCCTTGGACGGTGTGGGTAGGTGGGGCGGGAGCGAAAGGTGTATCTTGGAGTTCCCGACATTGACTCACCAATCTCGGTGCGATGGAATTACAAATAGTCGGCCAGCAGAAGAGGTGATGTTGGTGCGGGTGGTTACGATGGCAGGGGTGTAATCACGGATGATTCTGGTGGCGGTGGCGGTGGTGGTTGTGGAGATTCGTGAGATGGATGACGGGTTGGTCGTGCTGAAATTGTTTTGGGTCCGGAGAGGTACAACGAGGTCGATCCGTGTCCGGAATGTCCGATAAAAGTGTGGACACTTTAGCAGGGCGTTGTTTCTTCTCTGAACTAGAGTCTTGTTAGCCTCTTTTGCCTTTGTATTGTTTCTTCGGCTGGTTTCGAATATGATTATTCCGTTTCTACGGTCTTCGGTCGATACCCAGCGGAGGCCTCCCAGGCATTCTGATTTATTTGCAGCTTCCCCAGATAGGTCTTCAGGATGGCCATGCAACAAAGCTGTTTTTCGACCTGTCCGCAAGCACCCATAACAGTGTTGCTGTCGCATAGTCACTTGGGTATGCAGTCGCTGTTCGTCTTCACGATGTGGCCATTCCGACGGTGCCACAGCTGCCTGGCGTCCCACCTGGATATTTGGGACACCGGCTCTTTCCAGAACATCGATGTCTGGGGTACTTTCTGCCACTTCATCTTCAGTATTCCTTGGAGGCAGCTGAGGTAAAAACGTTCGAGTCTTCTGGCTTGGCCTTTATAAACAATTCACGTCTCGGTCCCGTACAAGACCCTTGTCGGGATAACAGCCCTGTACACTCTGAGTTTTTTATGAATGGGACGTCACGATGATTACAGGTGGATTGCTTTAATCCGCCGACTGGTTTTAGAGATCCAACTTAAGATTTCGTCGTGGATCTTGATATTTCTTCAAATTATACTCCCAAGGTACGCGAAGTTCTTCACTACACTTAATTTAGTTCTCCTGACATTGATATGGGGTTCGGTGTAGCCTGCATTTGACGCTGGTTGCTACCTGACCACTTCCTTCTCCGTGCTAGGGGTCGTGCCGAAAGTGGGGCAGTCGGAGACGTAGAGATCCACGTTCTGCTGCATATCCTCTTCCATTCTGGCGTTTACCGCACGGTCACCCACGTGGTCGCAGGCACTGGCCTGGAGACTCTTGAAGATGCACACATACGTGGGATGTTGATTAGCTGAGCATGGGATTGATTAGAAATGCTTTATCCTGACCTCTCCTATTGGTAGGCGTCCATCGGCATGGCGGTGAACATGAAATTAAATGGGGTAGGACGAGGATACAACCCTGCATTGCCTTCTGAGGCTTCACTACTGCCCCTGAGGGTTGCGTAAAAATGTTTGAACTCGGAAAAGGTTGATGGGAGGAAGGCTGCCAACCATCTTGTAATACTTGTCTGTCCCTCCTGTTACCATTGAAGAGTAAAAAGCAGCCTCAGTAAGGAAAGATAAAGTCCTGACGCATGCAGCCAGGAGTCTGGAATGGACAAGACAACTCCAGTGAAAGAGAGAGTTGCATCTTTTGAATCCGTTTGAGGAAGAATTAGAGATAGAGGACTGGATACAAGAGACAAATGTCAGTCAAAAGATCAAAGGCATAAGCATGGAAGTCGAAAGCTCACCGCTAATGGGAACGCGAAAGACGCTATCGCCAACCCCTGACTATTAATGACAAGAAGATTCAGAATTGTCGTAAGAGTTAATGATCGAATATCAAAGGACCCGATCATCCAACGCCCGCGCTGCGCAGGAAGCTACTACAGGGTTGTGCCTGTTCATCAAAATAAACAGGCTGCTAAAGAAAATTGACCAGAGAGTTAAGGGAAAGTTAGCCTGGCACCTTGGCACAGACTATTCCGTCGACTCTGTCTTCCTGACTTCTAATTCGGGAAGCTTCTCGTTGTCGATTTCACATTTCGAAAATCGGTGGCCTGTTACCAACACCGGTCGCTCTTATTTCTAATTTTGACGTCGTCAGGTTATGACAATGGACGGCCATCCGCTTCTGTCTGTCTGTCTGTCTGTCTGTCCGTCTCTCTCTCTCTCTCTCTCTCTCTCTCTCTCTCGGTTGCCCAACTCACTCGGATGACCGACCAGTTAATGGAGAGCTCCAGCTCCCACTTGTTCCATCTCGAACTTCCTCAGCTTTCCGCGAAGTTGAAGTCGAAGATAGCAACCCAAGATTTAGCATCTCTTTGACATCAGACAGTCCGTTCTCCATCCTGCTGCTTACAAAGGCTGTTTACGCAACAGGACTAGCATAGTTCATCCCACCCCATCACAGTCATCACCTTCTGGTATCATACCACGTTTGGTGTTAGGACCCGTCATTGCATCCCACCTACCCTTTCAACCCCCAACGGCTCCAGCAAATGAAAGGAGTCCGCCCAGGGGACGATGCAGTCATGCGCTCGGATAACCGCAGCCCCGGTAGCTCTGTTTACATCTTCAACCACCGGATTAGCAGAGGTTTCTTGATCGACAGTGGTACGCAGATCGTCATCTTCCCCCAGCAACAGCCAGTTGTCATTGTCCCAGCTTCGGCCGCTTCCCAAAAGCAGTTAATACCCCAAGACACTTCCATTGGTTCCTGCTTCTCCCCTGGCGCCCTTTCCCCTAGGTCTTTGACGTTATAGACGTATGCTGTAGGTTTTTGGTTCAGAAGTTCATACACCCCCGGTCGTCTGGTCGACTGTCGGCATCCCTGTCTTCACCGTCCGAAGTATCCCTTTATCTGAGGCGTTCCGCCATCCTGACATTCTGGCCCCCGACTCGGTAAGTCCATTTCAGCAACGCCTCGCCAACTACCCCGAACGCACCGTCCGAATTTCAACACCCCTACTCAGCCGCAAGATATAGTTAGTCAAATTTGTCCCACCGACCCTCCAGTGTTTTCTTGACCCCGCGTCTGACTCTTGACGTTTGGCTGTTACCAAGGCCGAGCTCGGACACTTGCAAAAGATAGACACCCGACAGTCGGAGAGCCCTTAACTTCGTCCATATACATGGTTCCCGAGACTACCAGTGGTTACTTGCGTTGAAGAGCATAAACACCCCCGATAGCTGTCCCGTCCCGCATCGTCAGGTCATCACGGATGTCCTGACCGACATGTCTATCTCCTCCAAGGCTGACCTCAACCGGATCGTTCGCCAAATCATAATAGCCCAGTAGGACGTTTTGGAGACCGTTGTCACCACTCTCTTTCGTTTGGAATCCTCAACGCTTCCCAAAAATTCCAGAGCTTTGTAAACAAAGTACCGCGTGGTCTGTCCTTCCACTACGTCCATGCCGACGAACTCTTGAGGGCCAGCATTGCTGCTGAACAACACATGGACCATCTTGCAATCATGTCTGGCCATCGTCATAACTTTGGCGTTGTTCTTGACCCGTTCAAACGTATGTTGGGTGCTCCTCCCCTCAAATTTATCGGCCACCTTGTCGACTCTTCTGGTTTATATCCTCTCCCTTCTAGGGTCTCAGCCATCCGTGTGTTATCGCCCCTACTTCCAAGCGTTCATCGTAAAGGTTTCAAGTTAACTTCAACCGGCGGTTCTTCCTCCAACGTTCCGCAGGTCCAAGCCAACCCCAAGCTTTCTTTTACCAGAAGCTATCACCTGCCAAATCGTGCTCTAACACATTTGCACGGGCGTTTCCGACTGCTTGCCTAGCCTTGAATCACTTCTGGCACTTTCCTGAGAATAAAAGCGTCGCCACCTTCATGGATAACGAGCACCTTTCCTTCAATCTCCAGTCTCGCTCGGACAAACTCAAACCCCGGCAGCACCTCCTGTCTGGCTATCTCCCCCAGTTCACCTTTGACCGCCATATCGACGGATTACGGAATGAAATGGCTTACGCGCCGTCCAGGTCCTCCAACTCGCTTCCGAGATCGGACTCATCGTGATGGCTCCCAAACAACGCCGTGTTGGTTCCCCCTCTGACAAGGATGCTTCCGGATTCAAACTGCAGGACCTGCCTCTGACTACTGACGGCGGCACTACTGTCTGTGATATCTCCACCGCCTCCCACCGTTCATTTGTGCCGCTATCCCTCTGTCACACGATCTTCTCCCTACACAGCTTCTCTTACCCTAGGAGTCCGGCTACCGACAAGCTGGTCCCGGATGTTCCCATCTGGCCAGGAATACACAAGGGCCTGAAGGCGCAGGCTATAAGCGGTGCAGGGCCCAGCAACACAAGGCTCCACTCGACACTTTCCCTGGTGGCGGTGCAAGGTTTAACCATGTCCACCTAGACAACAGAGGCTTTTTACCTCTGTCCAATAGATGTTCCGACGTCATCTATGTGGATCAATTCAATTGGTGGCCGGAAGTCATTCCTTTACCGGATGTCGAGGCGACAGCGGTCGTCAAAGCATTTGTCGGCCACCATAACAGACTACGGTGCTTAATTCGAGTCCTACCCGTCCTAGTCTCTCCTCTCATCTTTAGGCTGTACGCACACTTGGACAGCAGCCAACTGCCCAGCCGCCGATGGGAGGATCGAACCGTTTCACCACCAGCTGAGGAGTTATAGTGGCTGCTAAAGCTGTATGGAGGCCCTAGCCCATACGGCCTTCAGATTCGGTCCCGAAAGGAAAGGTGTTGGAGGCCAGTTGAGAGGATGCTGCATTCTATGTGGAAAGCTTAGAAAACCGGCTGGAATAAGCTGGCTGAAGGACAAGAAAACGCGCCCTACGCCATGAGAGTTACATCCCGAGTATCAGTGGGGAATGTTTTACACCGTCTTAAGCGAGAGCACGTCTGAGTCGGCTTTGAAGTTAAGTGGCTGCTTCGGATAGCCGTTATTAGCGAGAACTTAACTGCCACTGATGATGACATGCAAGTACTCGCGAAAAGGGCAACGTTGCAAAAGACGCCTGAAGTAGGGCCACTACAGGCCTTCGTACGCGTCGCCGAGGTTTCGGAAAATTGGACATACAGACTCCCCCTGGTTTCGTTGGGCATCTCCTCGTATATAACACCAGACATTGGTTGCTCCACCTCTAACCTGGTGTTTGGAGCCACTGTTCTTCCATCCGGTGAGACGATCCGCCAGTTCTTTGCGGTGCGGTCGAATATCCAATCAACCTCCTGCACAGTCTCTGGCACTTTGCGGACAACTTCTCTGGTTCCGCCAAGGTCCTCGGTCTCCGGGTCTTCAGAAGGGCTTGGTGTGGCATGTACTGACATTGTTCTCCGGCGTGATCGAGTGCGTCGCCAGTGGAACCATCTTACGACGGCCTTTTTGGGTTGTCCCTGAAGGGACAAAGACCTTCCGAATCCAAGACTATCCTCGCGAAGTCGTCCTGGGCGGAGGCCGTCCTGAATTTGTTCCCTGAAGACTGTTCCAGAGGTGCTCTCTGGTCGCCTACTCCCTGCTCCTCCACTCCTGTCCCTTCCTCCTTCATGTCCGTTTCTCCTTACTGCACCCTCATTCTCCTCTGTAAACTCTCCCACAGCAGAGCACACTTGAGTAGCTTCATATTTCCCTTCCATATATATCGCAGCTTGTGGACAGCACGTTCACTTCCGAATAGTTTTGTTACTCATGTCTTCTAGGCATAAACAAGTTTCTCGGCATCGCTGTCGGCTATCATCGGTCTAACCGAGGAGTAATGGGACGTATAGGCGGGCGTGATCAGCAGCCTTCGTCCCCTCGCCAATCGACGGCATGCATCGACTGTGAGAGGAAGAAATGTTGACCTAAGCGTGAGTTCCTCTATAGTGAGCCAGATTTGCCTCATTGGCTGATGGAATGCAGACATACCCTACATGACAGTTGGACCTTCGTGCCCGACAACGTCCACTTTGTGCTCCACGGCGAAGTGAGAGCAGGCATGATGACTTGTGTGTGAATTAGTTTAAAGTGGCAGTGGACCTACACAGCATCTACTGCACTCTCTCCTCCCCCGCCTAGGCCCGTTATCAGGCCAGACTGAAGAAGACTGGAAGCGGTAGAGAGAACAGGTGGCTGGCACGGTCTGATCCGCAGCTAGGAGTACCACCACACAAATACCATACATACTCCATACGTGGTGACCCCAGTTCAACACCGACCAGCTGTCAACGAGGGGGTTTCTGGGCTCATGACTAAGAGTGGCATGAATACCACATTATCTACTCACCCTCCGGATACACGTTCCAGCCCAGGTGATGCTGGCTATAGACCCTTGTGTTGATCGTCATTTGAACACAATACCTCTCAGAACTATCTCACCAACACTGTCTGCAATACTTTAACACTAGAAACCATGTGACTCCGGTTCTCTCAATCGAATCCAACAAAAGCAGAGACAATTCTGGTCTGTTGCCTTTTACTTTTCTCAGAAATTAACTGTGAACTTGGAGTAGATCAGTGTATGCTAGGTCTATAGGCTCAAACCGAGGTTTTTATGCATGAATATTTGAGCTGAATTCCATCAGTCAAAGCGCGTAACCGCATAATAGTCATTAACAGCCGACAGGCTGCTAGTAGCATATTTTAGGGTAAAATGATACCATAATAACAGTACAGGTAATAGCCAAAAGCCCATACACTCGTGTTTCGCCGATATTCTGCCGCTTCATGGCACAACTGCGAGGGGTTCGGCTCTTCAGTGGGTCCCCCAGCATTCCCCGTCTGCTTTTTGGTAGACACTCCAATTTAAAAATTGTCGCTTTTTAATTTCCTCGGAAAGTAGCTGTTGGAGGACCCACTGATGAGCCGAACCCCTCGCAGTTGTGTCATGCAGCGGCAGAATATCGGCGAAACACGCGTGTAAAGGCTTTTAGCTAGTACCTGTTCTGTTAGTATGATGTCCTCCTTGCCCAAAAATTCTGCCTTGTTTACGTTTCTGGCACATTTATCTGCAGAATGCGGCAAAGTAAACGGCTCGTTCGATATGGCAACTGTTACTTTCGACTACACGTATCTTCGCTGCCTGGAGTACCTTCGCTTATTGGAGAGTTTACTGTCAGGACAGAGGCTGTCTAATTCCGTTATTTTCTACGGGGACTTGCAGTGAACGAGGTGAAACTCAGAGACTAAGCCGAAAAGCATACGGCTGTTGGTCGCCGATGGCCATGATGGATTCAAGAATGTGGCATAGTGCAAATATTCGTTCGATCCATAGACGCCTAGCCCAGGAACCGATGTGTCCTAGTCTCATTCCTGAGTTATACCCACTTAAAAATCGTCCGAGAATGATAGGGAAAAATAATTTGGCAACGGTAGGTTGTGTAACCCCGCCTGGCAACCAATAACCCCAGAACAGTGAAGTGCGCAATGGTGTTAATAGGGGTTTTACGGGTGGAGCATAATCGCGCACGGGAAACTATGTAAATGCAGCAAAACATAAAAATTAAATAGATTTTCGCAGAAATCCTTCTTCTATGCTTGCATATTGCAGCGAAATTGGGCGCGTTAATTGAAAAATAAACAAAAAATCAATTGGCAATAAATAGAAGATATCTAAACAAACCGCCGCAGACAAGTTTGAGGCAGGTCAGGAACAATGGAACGAACAACCAGTAGGACAGAAGAGTGCCAAGTCTCAAATAATACAACTATGAGAGTTTGTGACAAGAAAACGTAATGCGTGAGAATGTGGGAGGAGCTATGCTAATATACCCTAATGAACACGAAGAAAGTCAAATAACGTAAGTAGTAACGCATTTATTTACTTGCATGATAAGGCAAATTTGAAATGCAAGTTAAAACTATGTATGTAAGGGCTATATGCAATACTGAAAATGCCTAAATGAACAGAGTATGTAATTATGCTTTGTTTACAAGATACAGATTATCCGATCCAGGTCGCATGAAGATAAAACAACCGCAGGTTGATTTTCCGAGGAAAGCGGGAGGAATAACCGAAGGTACAAACTTCGAGAATGTAATGGAATACCGCCAAGAAAGAAGACTTTTTCCTAGTGTAGTAAAATGCAGATGTGGACACAGAATGCATTAGCAAATATTGAGGCTGCACGCCAATGAATACGTTTTTCGATATGGCCGATGTCTAAAAGAGGAAAGCTCTAAGAAAGGGCTCAATTTTCGAAAGCAGCAGACTAACCATCAGGACAATAATTAAAATACGGTTGGCCTTCATAAGGGTTATCAGAGAGAGAAAATGCGAAGAGGATATCGACGTATGTCATACAACAGCGGTGGAATGGCATGTTCTTTGTCGCAATGTCTGCTTCGCCGGCCTAACGAACGAAAGAAACCAGACTGGCAGTCCCGGCGTAGAAATCCAAGTTGGTGAAACACTGGTCAGCAGACGGAAATAAAATGTTGGAAGACGTAGAAGGCAATTTTGGATCGTTGATTTGTATGACACTACGCGACAGAATGCATTGTTTGAACTAGCAGACGATAGAAGTTGGCCAGCCCTCAGATCTGCCATTAAGAAATGGGCGGCCGAAGGAAACATAATAGTGACGGACGAATGGAAGTCCTACAAACGCCTCCATTCGGAAGGCTATGAACACTTTTATAGTCAATCATTCAATGCATTTCAAGGATCCAACCACAGGAAAAAACACCAATGCAACTGACGCCTATTGGAGCAGACTGAAACGAAAGCCCCACGAAGGTGGACCGGTGTCTGGTCGAGCAATATGGGCCCAAATAGACAAAGTTCAATATTGTCTATGGTTTGGCATAGGCAGCGTGAGACTAAAGCAAGCTTGGCAGTTATTCCTGTCGCATATTACGCAAGCATATCCGGCACACCAGTTTCCTGAACCGGGAACCTGAAGGACTCTTTTCCAAAGGCAATTTAACGACCACTTGTAAGTAAATTTTCGTATATAAATTCAGCTAAATTTAACTGTATTTTTACTGGTTACGTGAGGGAGTGGGCTCAAGTATTCTTAAAGAAGTATGTAAGTCACGGGGTACACTTTCGACAACAGAAACCGTTTGAAGATATTAAGAAAGCCTCACGTTTGCGTTTCGACCGAGGGAAAGTAAATCAATACGCAACAAAAGATTCTTACAGCGCGCGTTGTATGGTGAGTACGGAAATAGGAAAGGAATATTAAGTCAGATTTTCCGAAGACGTTATTAACTGACGAAGTACATGTTCGACAATAGAAACCGTTAGGTGTTCACGAAGGTGTGCGCTTGTTTTCTAACCGAGGTGAAGTAAATCGGCGCGCAGCCGAAGATCCTTACAGCACGCGTTGTATGGTGAGTGCCGACATGAGTGAACGCGGAGACTTCCTGTAACTATGAATTAATAAACTAGTCAAGGCCAACACACCAAAAATAGTAGGTAGTTATACATATCAACCATAATATGGCTACACAACCCATCTTTGCCAGTGATTTTTTCCATCTCTTCTACAAGTCTAATTTCGTAGTAATCCCTGGACTTTGTCTTATCGCCCCTACTTGAAGATGGGTCAAAAGCAGCTCGAGTTCCAGCCATCAGAAGCAATCTCCCCTTTCCATGCTTGTTCCAGAACAATATTTTAGACCGCCAGGGAGTCCGCACAAAGTATAACGACTTCGACTGGACTGTTGTCCTTTTTGAGCTTCTTGTTTTTGCACGTTGTAGGCATTTCATCAGTTACCTCCCCCAAGTCAGAAGGGTCACATGAAACAGCATTAGCTGGAGAAGGACGAAAATCAATTCCTGTGGCGAGCCACGTGTTAATGCACTGACAACACGAAAAGAGTTTCTAAATGCAGAGAATCTACCACCGGCTTGACAATTAATTTGATAGAGTTTCTGGCAGCCATTGCAGTTTAGGGCCTAGAGTCTGATGACCTATACGGTGTTTTCAGACATGGCCGTCTGCATTCAGAGCGGGATCAGTCACCTTCAAAGAAAGTCCTATACAGAAAAGCAGGGCGAGTAGACAATTGTAAAGGAATGGTGTACTTCCGGCCGTATCCATCATGCCGTTAAAATTACCAGAAACATCTGTCGCTGAAGATATCCTATAAAGCTGCGTAAAGCCCCTGATTGTCCAGGTCGAAGAAATCCAAGGCCGTCATAGTGCAAATGCCACTACGAGACCTGACATGTTTAATTCCTTCTGTTACTGGCACAACTAACTACCTAAGTAACAAAGCGTCCTTGGCGGCTAGGGCAATTGCCAAAATTCGGGCCCTATAATCCCCAGAACAAGTCCCTACCAGCAGGGTAGAATGGGTGACATCGGAATGGGGGATATTTGTTGCACATGGGACACTGGGTTGCCGTCTCAGCCAGCAGTGACTGTTGTCTAGTCCAGGGCGTACAGCGACGTTGTTAAGTCATGTCTGTGACCGAGAGTGTCTGTGGTGACGTCTGCTTTTATCGTTTGGATGGGGTAAGTTTAAATGTCTTTTTATCCAATTTGTGCGTTCAAGTGGAAGTATGGACGACAGTGACCGTGTGGATGCGCGTATTTGCGCCTGTTCTCCGCCGCCTGCGAGAACTTCGGTCTGGTCATTAACACGCAGAAGACGGTGGTGATGCACCAACCGCCACCCAACTCGGCCACAGCCCCCAACGCGCCGCCGCAAATCAGCGTGAACGGAACCCAACTGCAAGTGGTGGAGAACTTCCCGTACCTGGGCAGTACTCTCTCCCGCAACACCAAGATCGACGATGAAGTCGCCAACGGGATCTCGAAAGCCAGTCAAGCCTTCGGTCGCCTCCACAGCACAGTTTGGAATCGCCACGGTCTTCAGCTGAGCACGAAGCTGAAGATGTACAAGGCCGTCATCCTGCCGACACTACTGTATGGAGCGGAGACTTGGACGTTGTACGCAAAGCAGGTACGTCGTCTGAACCACTTCCACCTCAGTTGTCTTCGTCGCATCCTGAGGCTGAACTGGCAAGATCGAATCCCCGACACTGATGTGCTGGAACGGACGGGAATCCTCAGCATCTACTCCATGTTGAGACAAATGCAGCTGCGCTGGAGCGGCCACCTGATGCGTATGGACGACGAGCGACTACCCAAACGACTCTTCTACGGAGACGTCGCGACGGGTTCTCGCCGTCAAGGAGGCCAGATTCGCCGTTACAAGGATACCCTGAAGTCCTCCCTGAAACGCCTGTAAATCAACCCATCGAATGGGAGGAAATCGCACTCGATCGACCGACCTGGAGGAGGACAGTGAAGACAGGCGCTGCGATCTACGAAGCCAACCGCATCGCTGCCGCCAAAGCGAAACGCGAAGCCCGCAAATCACAACTTCGCCCAGTACGCAACGCCGCCGCATCACCGCTTCCAACGTGTCCTCGATGTCAACGGACATTCCGGGCTCGAATCGGACTTGTTGGACATCTTCGGATTAACTGCGCCTCTCGAACTGCACCAACCATCGTCCCCCCGTCCGCCTCTTCCTCCTCCTCTCCGCCGCCAACTAACTCTGACAATTCTTCTGACCCACCACTTCCTTCC